CATTAAGAGCTGATACAGACCGTTTACATATGGAATTGTATAAATCGCAGATACTATGGGATATGGGATATCGGATATGGGATGTGTGATATGAGATATGGAGTATGGGATATGGGATATGGGATATTTAATATGTGATATCGGATATGAGATATGGGATATGAGATATGGGATATGAGATATGAGATATGAGATATCGGATATGGGATATGGGATATCGGATAAGGGATATGGGATATGGGATATGGGATACCGGATATGGGATATGGGATATGGGATACCGGTTATGGGATATGGGATATCGGATAAGGGATATGGGATATCGGATATGGGATATGAGATATGGGATATCAGATATGGGATATGGGATATGGGATATGAGATATTGGATTTGAGATATGGGATATAACATAATATAACATAACATAAAACTCTCCTCTTCCAATGTTGTCAATTTTTGCTTACAAGCTGAAGGAAAATTCGGAAGAATTTAATGTGTCGCTATATCGTTAATTAAATATAATTCAATAATAAATAACAATATATGATATATACGATATATGAAGGAAATTTAAGGAAAATTTACTATATTCTGTTTCTTGAGATGCATGCCGTGACTAAGAAATATTGAACGACGACCGTCTAAATGTCTTGCTCGTCGATGCGGACCGTGACTTTCGATTCGAAACAAATTATTAAAGCTCCACTGTCTGAGTGGCCAGGGAAGAAAGTGAACTGCAAGTTGCGATATTGTTTCTAAGTAACGGGTGAGAGGAATATTTTGTGCACGATTGCTATCGAGGAAAATGCTTGCGAACGCATTTTTCTGCAGCGCTCGCTTACTGGAATTCACTTCGAGATTCGCGCACGCACGCATCATGTCGGAACGTCGATTCACCTTCATTATTTGAAACGTGGCTTCCGTGCCACGACAGAGGGACGCCGCGCGTTTTTCTTTTTTTTACCTGTTGCCTATCTTTTTTTCCGAGACGAGATAATCGATCACGCATTCGGGCTGACTCCGAGCACTGTCGATGCAAAAATTGTTTGCGATCTTTTAATTTTGAAAAGGTGAGTCGTTGGAAGTAAAACGTGGGAGGCATAAATCATGATTTACAATTTTATATAATTAAATATGATTCATTTTTACTTCCTTTCGAATTAATGAAATATTTTAATGAGAGCGTCGAACGGTGGTATAGTCGTGAGTATCGAATCCTATTTGGATGTAATATTGTTCCTAAGTAATCATTATAATAATGTTTACTTCAAAATATTTTAACAGTATTCCCGTTAAAATTTTTCAAGAATCGTTTTATGAAGAGCTGGATCGAATGAATGAAATGGAAAATGATCAATGATTCCTGTCGGATCATTAGTCATGAAGAGAATACGTAGTATGTATGTATGTTTATGGCAAATGGCCCGAAATCAGTCTATTGAGAGCTTAAAAGATTATTTTAAAGACATACAGAAATGTTCAGAAGACTTTCTTGCATTTATATCATGCCAAAAAATGTTATTTCTCTCTTAAAATACATCAGACAGGTGATTCTTGCCGCTTCCGTTATAAAGTTTTATGCATAATCCGGCCCGAATTATGTGCTTGTGAAAATATAAACATAGCGCTATTGCACATGGTGGCAAAACGCTGAAACTGTTGCTCAACGCTTACCGACGGAGTGAAAGTAAAATTTGTCGACGAGTTCTCTAAGCACTTATCAGGGGTCCGTGCTGTCCCTGCGACAGCATGCAATGCTTTTTCTGCCTCAGGATCTGAATTACCGAGCCTGTAGAAAATGCTGTGGTACAATAGCGGCACAGCTTAGGATGCTAAGTCTGTAGGTATAGCTGGATGTAATTCGCTAGCTGACCGTTCCATTTAGGTTGAGTCCGCTATCCTACCAGGTAGAGGGCACAGTTACCGACAAAATGAGACGAAAACATGGGTTTACGAGGTGACGCTTAATTACCTTAAATCAGCACCTTTTTCAATGTTTATCGAAAAAGATGCTCACTCGAAAGAGGAAGGTTCAATGCAGTGTGCGAATATCAGACTTCATGAGAATTATGTAGATATTCGGTAATATAAGTACCGAAGCTATAGAATCAAAGCAGTTTAGGATATCGGATATCGGATATGGGATATCAGATTTGAGATATGGGATACCGGATATGGGATATGGGATATGGGATATGGGATACCGGATATGGGATATGGGATATCGGATACGGGATATGCGATATCGGATACGAGATATGGGATACCGGATATGGGATATGGGATACTGGATATCTGATATGGAATATGGGATATCGGATATGGGATATCGGATATTGGATTTGAGATATGGGATACCGGATATGGGATATCGGATATGGTATATGGGATTTGGGATATCGGATATCGGATATGGGATATAGGATATCGGATATCGGATATGGGATATGAGATATCGGATATGAGATATGGGATATCGGATATGGGATATGGGATATGGGATNAAATCAAAGCGAAGTAGAAGGTTTAGCTTCAAATCCATGCGAAACTAACGATTTAGCATCAAATACTTGCGAAACATATGACTTAGCTTCAAATACTTACGATATAAATGATATAGCTTCAACTGCATGCGAAACAAACGAGTTAGATTCAAATCCATGCGAAACACGTGACTTAGCTTCAAATAAATGCGAAGTAGAAGGTTTAGCGCCGAGCGAACACAAAGGATACCCCCATCACTGACTTTGACGATCGACGATCGCACGATCGATGGCGATCGATAATTTCGACAATTTCAATTATTGCCATTTATTTAATATTCGCGATCATTTATTTTGCAATAATGCTATCCAGTGCCCGAGAAATTATTTCATCGCTTAATTTATTCATGAAAAGTACCAACGAGGTTTAATTAACAAGAGTCTTACATAAATCGATCTAATTGTTTAAGTTATTATATCGAATTCCTTTTGTTAATTAATTTATTATTTCTCGCTTCCTAATATTTGCAACAATTCTGTTTGATAGAAGTATGGTGAAGCACCCCACTGGCAATTTTGCTATTTAATTTTCTAGCGAAAATAGCCGACAGAATCAAACATACAAATTAATATTTTGAGCACATAAGTTTCAAGAAATTGTTGCAGCAGACGAGCTTCGTTGATAAATCGATTGCTTTTCGAATAATTTAATATTAACGAGAATTCTTATTGCAAATGGTATTATTAAATAATCCCGTGGCTATTTCGTTGTAACATTTAGTAGCGGTGGTAATTAATAACGTCGAACATACGAAGTAATTTTGAAAGCACAAATTTATAGAAGAATCGTTACATCAAGAATATTCTATCGATGCATTTATTATTTCTAGCTGTTTTAATAATAATTAAGAGATAGTAGGTTTTGGAAACTATTCTATTTTTTAAGCCGTGTTCGTTATATTATAATCCCCTATCGTTATTGGTATCCTAAACCGCAATCGTGATTTTATAATCGTAAATTGCGTTACGACGTTCGTCGCATTCCGTACGAGTGCGCACGGTGTGAGCCAATGGTCCTAGCCAGCGCATGACGTCAGCCGACCGTTCAGCAGCCGCCGGCGACAGCCGATCGTCCTAGCTAGCGCACGACGCCAG